TCTACGGCATCCAGGGGGAGAGATTAATAAAATAAAACTTACGAAAGACCTGCACTAAAATAAAAATTGTACATCAACTTGAAAAAACTATCATCGCATTTTGGCTACCGTTCCGACTCGCCATCATCAGAAATTTGTGGGTTAATTTTCTAACCGCTTGGCGTTTTAGCTATTCACTAGATATTCTAGACGGGATAAGTACCAAAACAGACCAAAATAACCAAGCAAGGTCATCAACCCGCAGACGTGAACAAGAAATCTTACAGCTTTTTTGGAGGGTTCGAATGATTTCAAAAATCCTTTTCCCCACTGCGTCTTACGTAGATCTATTGTGGAACACCTATAAATTGTAACCATACTTTGGAAAGTGCATTTTTTCCTACAAGGCTAACCACCTTCCTCGGTGCCTCTTTGCGCACCTCTTTTGATGTGAGGACCTTACCAGTGGTTGACCATAACCAGGCTAATGCTTTCTCAAACTACATCCTCCCTATTTCTTCCTGACTCCGCTTTGTCCATCTTATTTAGGTGGTAGTTAAAAGGCCGGTATTTTCCTCAAATCCTACCTTCTAAGAGAGAGTTCCTTTGTCCCCCGACATTTTGGAAAGGATGGTTTTAAGGGGATGAGGGGACAAGTGGTTAAGGCGTTGAACTTCTAATCCAAAGTACTGATTGTCTTTGGTTCTTCCTGATAGTCGATATATTTCAGTCCTGCTTTGTCCATCTTCTTTAGGTGGTAATTAAGAAGGCCGGTATATAGCTATAATTTTCCTCCAATCCTGCCTGCTGAGAGAGTTCCTTTATTTCACTTTTTGGAAAGGATGGTTCTAAAGTCTAGCACGCACTGGGATTCTTTGTTCAGACTTTGCCACAGAGCTGTGTCCGGGATTCATTTTCTTCCATCTGGGACGCTCCCCTGAGTCTTGAATTTGGTGCGTTGCGTTTTAGTATTTTTTGAATCCCATCATAAATGGGATTCTGTACTGTTGCGCAACATTGGTTGAAGATTTGCATATTCGGTGATGTTTGTGGGACGTTTCCTCAGGGGAATAAATACAAAGACACTGTGGCTAAGTTAGCCCAAAAATATGAAGTTAGACTTGAACATGAGGTTTGATAAGAGCCTCCACTTGCGAGGAAATTGAGAGTGATTGCTAGCCTGTTGGTAGCAGAAACTGGCACCCTAACATTCGTTTCCTTTTTTTGAAATGTGTGGTCCAACCATTTCCAAATTTTCGTAGTCGACTGGACTTAACCGAACAAAATTTCATAATCCCATTCCGTCTTCCAATCTCAGTGTGACAAGAAGATTGTGCCCTTATTTATGATTTATTTTAAATTATACAGTGTTAGAACAATACCAGCTGAAATACTTACTTAATTGTTTGAAATGAAACTCAATAATCTACAAAAAGCAAGTAATCTGTTGTAAAAAATGGGCCAAAAACCCAATTCCTCATTATCATTATATTAATAATAATATAATAATTAAATTGAAGAGGATCGGAAGGAGGTCAATTTAAAACTATACTACAGTTTTGCCAAGCTTTCAACGTATATTATGCCATTATCAGGGCCTAAGTTTAACAAAATAATTTTAAAAATTTACAATAATATTAATGTTAAAGTAGTACTTACTAAACTATTATTTTATTGAGCATTAATATTGAGTATTGTCTGAAAGTTTAATCTAAAATTTTTTACAATAAATAANAAAAAAATAAATATTACAATATTTAAAAATTGTATTGTTATTATTATTATTAATTTTTAACGGCTAAGGTCATTTCACGCTCTAACATGCCAAACCTTCTATCTTAGTTTAGCTATATCCCTTCTGAGTGCTATAAAGCTCTGATTCGAATCTTTCTTATTTAAATTGCGATTTTGAGCATTGCAGTTTATTACCCCGCAATTTGTATTTTCTTCCATTTCATTTTTCCGCTCCAGCAGCCTCAAAAATTCCTGAAAAAATAAAGAATTCTTGCACTTACAACTATCACTCAAACATTAGCAGGCAAACATTCAATGGTATAACAATTTGGGAAAAGGTGTAAATCTCATTATAAATTCCAATAAATTTGAGAAAGCTGAAAAGTGCTCCTCGAAAGAAACACTGGGGACCCAGTAACTCCTGTAAATCACTCGAAAGGTTGAGCCTTTGCCTAAAGGCTTGCAAAGTGCGACAGTCGACCAAAATATGTTTTATTGTCAGAATGATACGTTCTCCACTTCGCATACATCGAGGACAAGTTGGAAGGTTGTTGCCTATTAAAAGCCTATTAGCCTGATGTGACCTATTCGCAATCTAGAGAGAATTACAAGTTCTTTTCTCTCAAGTTCCTCAGTTGGCCATTTATGTACAACTGGCTTAATTTTTTTCATACTATCTCTACAGACATCTTGCCATCCATTTTCGTTTGATAATGTTTTTAACATAAACTACTATATCATCTGGGCAGAGAGGAAATTGATCTGTTCTTTGTGGATGGTTTGCAGCTTCCTTGCCAGTTGATCATCTTTTTCATTTCCAGAAATGCCGACATGACGAGGAACCCAAACAAATACCACATGTTTGTTAAGTGTTCTGATTTCACAGAGATATTTGTGAATTTCTAAGATGTATGGGTCAACCGAGAAATAATTTTTGATTGCTTCGAGACCACTTTTCGAATCAGAGCAAATAATGGCATACAAATTCCTTGCGATTCCTTTATAATGGTCAATGATCTTCTGATTGCATGAAGTTCAGCTGTGTACGCTAGCCTCATTCGATAGAGGCCAGCTGAGGTTATACTCATCAGCAAATATCCCACACCCTACACCAATTTCATTTTTAGACCCATCGGTATAAAAAAAACTTTATAATTGGGATAGTTATTTAAAATTTGCAAGAATTCTGCCTTGATCATCAGAGAAGGTGTTTCTCTTTTGTTCAATAAGGCCAGATCTTTGATAATTGTGGCAGTAGGTAATGACCACGGGCAATTTAAAACCTTCAACTGCTGGCAAGGTATTCCCTCCTAATCTCAACATTTCAGTACCGCGGATTCCCAAAGGTCTCGTCCTAGTTCTTAGGAACGAATACATATCTTGGTGAGGGTTACGGAAAACTGAAGGAAATAGAAGATGGAAAGGCTTAGACCAAAGTCTAGCAACAAACTTAAGAATTGCCTCCTCCCTGAAAAGATCCGGAGGAAGGACACCAGCATCATTGCAGAGACTATATAAAGGGCTTGTTCTAAATTTTTCCAATGTCGTGTAATCGGATTGGATTCTCGACGACAAATGAAATGGCCACGGAGAGCTTTAGTGAAGTATACTTCATTTTTAATAATTAAATTCACTAATTTCGTGGTCCGCTTGACCAATTAATATATTACAATTAATTAAGGTTTTTAGTTGAGATAAAGTCAATAGCACGAGTGGGATTCGAACCCACAATCTTCAGCTTGATATGCCGCTACTCTACCACTTGAGCTATCGTGACCTCGATCCACTCCAATTACACGACATTTGAAAAATGGCAAAAAGGAGAGAAAATTCAAAAGGTGTAGTTGAGATGGGAAGTTGGTGTCCGAGTGGATCGAGGTCACGATAGCTCAAGTGGTAGAGCAGCGGCGTATCAAGCCGAAGATCGTGGGTTCGAATCACGCTCGTGCCATTGACTTTTTTATCTCAATTAAAAACCTTAATTAATTGTAATATATTAATTGGTCAAGCGGACCACGAAATTAGTGAATTTAAAACACTGTAGGGGAGCAGGAATAAATGGCCTTACAGCTATCTTCATGTAGGCAACATACAATTCTTTTGGAGGACACGGGGTATTGAATGTGACAACCCATGAAAAATATGTCCTACCATCTTTCCTTTTTAACCGATGAATGTTTATGACAGTAGAACTCTTTAATTCTTCGAGGAGTTCTTCATCAGTACACTCTTTCAAGTCCCAGCAAGAAATTACACCTTTTGAGGTGTTCAATTTTACATTTCTTTCAACCTTTACCAGTATATTTTCTAAATTTTTAATTTTCATTATTTTACTCCCTTGTTCCTTATTGAATGGTTCAAATATAAATTAAACCATCACGACCTTTTTTATGTTTACTACTTTCCCTACTTTATTTAATTACTCTTATTACTATTTATTATTCTACATATTCTTATTGGCGATAGTGAGTGAAGGCCGCCATTATCTTTCCCATCCGATCTACAAATAATAAAATGTCTTGCCCCAGAAGTAGAAACAACAGGAGAGGGAGTCCTATTTAGAAGGAGTAATCGATTTCGAAAACCCCCCACTGGGCCGAAAGGGCCTTTCAAATGTTTTGGAAAATTTTGAAAAAATTGAAACAGATGACATTTAAAGAAAAAGAGAAAAACTAAATAAATAAATTTTACCCAACCCTGAAACCAGGTTTCTAGAGAGATTCAGGCCCCACACTTCCCAATAGGGAATTGAGCTATAACTAGCACCCAGCAGACTTGTCTAATCGTCAAAAAATTTATCCAATTGAACTCACCTCACCAAAAAACACTAGACTGACAAAGGTACGTCCTAGCTTGTGCAACACACCATCATGCACTTATTATATCAATATACCTCAAAACTTTGGTTTTTTCCCGGAGAGGAAATTCTTGCTTGTTACAAGTTTTATAGTCCTTGTATTGTTATTATAGTCAGTATTGTTTACTATTGTAGCGCAGAGTTTTAATGATATTAAGTGTGAGTTTCAATATAGGAAACATTTCATACTCAATGAATGTACAAATTGTTGCTCTATAGAACAAAAGCATTGAATCCATTTGGGGCTGAATTGAGTGGTTAGCCTAAATTTGTTTTGGATGGAAAAGACTTTGGTCAAAGGAACCCTGGACTGCTACAAACACCTGAGAATTTGTATCCCATAGCTTGCCTTGAGAACTATAATTTTAATTAAATAAATTAAACAATTGCACTTTTTAATTCTAAAAGGAAATTTGTATTTAATTTACAGGGAGAACTCATCCAGCAATAGTTTCAAGTGTTAATAACACCTTGCGAAGTGTCACAGTTGAATGGTTCGAAAAAGGAGAGACCAAAGGAAAAGAGGTCTGTTGAAACTTTTATATTTTTATTTTTTCCTGCAATAAGTAAATGACAATAAATTGTAAATCTATTTTGGTTTATTTGATGAATAAATTTTAAAAATTTCCGTACATAATTTGAAAATAAAGACAAGGAAAATGTAACTGATTTTAATTGAGAATTTATTTGTTTGTTCTATAGATTGAATTTGATGCCATTTTTGCACTAAATGCTAATTTATTGCCATCGAACAATATTATAAACAGAGGAGGAAGTTTAGCAGTGGAACCGCCAATCAAAGGCATTAGAGTGAGTTATTATTATATATGTACAATTTTTTTAGTTAGGTGATTTGCATTTTATAAGTTATTGTAGTAAAATGATTAAATGTCATCATATTCTATTTAAAAATATATTGTAATCATTAATGGCTTGTGCATGAGAATATTAATACCTAATTGCACAGGTAAAGGGGGTGTTCATCTTGTTGGAACTACATTGTTTGATACTATTTTTAATTTGTGCTTAATACTGTTTATATACAATTTCTCGTTTGAAATGGATTTGTGTCATAGTGGTTCTTTGTATCAATATAGCATACTTTTTGTTCATTTTGGACCAAAAAGATCTTAGCGAACGTGAGCCTTTTAAAACAGTAGGCGATTTCTGCGTTGAAGTGAAATTATCCGGATGGTAATGGGATTTACCTTGTACCGCAGAACGGAGAACATTTTATTATTAAATGAATAATTGTTCAACCAAGGGCGAATGAATTATTTTTGTTCATTGATAAAGGATTCATCAACGTCCTGGGACGATGACGATGATGAGGATGATGAAAGTCAGCAAGATGCATTCATGACAGATTGTGACAATGGGAATGTTAAGGATAAAACAACAATTTCTTCCACAACATTGGCCGTTAGTAGTCTGCCAAATCCTCGTACGGTAATGAGAATTATCTTCATACCATTTATCTTTCAGTGCACTTCTTTTGGTTAAATTATACCATGGCATAATTTATTTCAATACCCACATACCCACAGATTACAATCAACAATTTGAAAAAAAAAATTCTTCAATGATTTAGTTTAGGTATTATTTATGTGTTCTTGATTTAAATGGTATTGACCAATTTGTAAGTGCCTATTTGTCAAATAAAAACTTTTTGCTGGGAAAAAAGAGGTCTTTCATATTTTAAAAACACTAAAGTTTATATTTATCTCTTTTACTCCACCAGCTGTTGTAATTAGCCCAGAATCTTAAGCACTTTATCAAAATAAGATTTTGAAAAACCATATTGCTTAAAAAAATCTGAAGCTAGTTTTTTGTTGGTAAAAGCGAAGTTGAAGTTACATAGACTTGTGCTTGCTAATGCAGAAATGTTGCATTATTCTACATTTTTATTTTAAACATTAAAACAATTTACTTTTCTATTGTTGATTGCAATCTAACCCTGCTTTCTGAAACAGATTGATGTTGTGTGCGAGAAGATCGACCAACTGTAGATATTAGAACAACAATAACATTAAAATAACAATAACATCCAGCAGCATTTGTTCTAGATGTATTTACATAACTTTATTCCTCAACACAATTATTTTTAAATATTATCAAAACACATTGGAAAATAAATCAATAAAAATAATCAAAAGCAAGATTATCTTTAAAATAGGATAAAGAATTTTTTTTAAATATACATAAGTAAACAAACAGTAGTACATAAGTCGTATATTTTGTTTGACATATTCAAAAGAATTCAAGTGATTTTATCTTTCTACTCTACACATTAATGTAACAATGTTGAGGATTGGAGTTGTCATATATATTAGTTTGCATGTTTCTTCAAAATGGAACTACGATGATATTCCTGCTTGCTCTTTTAATTTTTCCCCCAATTAAAACATTCAATATTTTTAAGGCTAGTTTCATTTACAGATTTGCAGTAAGTATTTGTTTTGTTATATGTAGAATTATTTTTAATTCATTTTATTCCTAGATATTCATATTGTAAGTTTTTTGGATTTGCATGTTTTTTGTACATGTTTTTGTTTTTGGACATGGACATGTTTTTTTATATATGTATGTTTTTAAAAAAAATGAATTGGTACATAAAGATTTTATACTCATAAGTCTATGGACGTGTGATCACCGATTTTAATGTATCTTTTTTTTGGTGATACTCGGGCAAAAAATATTGAACACATGTCCAAGTGTTCTTGGTCTAGTCGAGAAAATTATTTTATGTAATTTAAGTGATTTTTTAAAATATGGTTTTCTTCCTTTATGTGCTGAATGTATGTTAAGTTTGTTATATATCAGCCAATTTTTTTTTCCCTTGAATATGAATGAAAATAAAAAGGAAAGATTGTATTAAATGCGATTAGGTATATAAAAAGTTACAAAAACGAAAATACACTTCTAGTAAAGTAGGTAAAAATAATTTTTTTGGATTTGTTTTAAGTGCTTTTTTCAATCCTTTAATATGAATGTTTATAGACTGGATTAGCAACAAGGGGGCTATTTGAATTGTCTCCTATATCCGTGTTCCAGTTAACCCTCAAATCCTGACTTAAGTTCAAACGTGATGTCCATTCCCAAGGAGCAGTTTTGAAAATAGGTTTAAAAAAAACAATAATGTTGAAAAAAAAAATGTTAAAAGGGGACGTACAAATTTATGAAAGAAGGCAAAAATTAAAAAAAGACATTTTTTCCCATTTGAGTGCTCACGCTTGAAACAAAATACACAATTTTCACTTTATACTAAATTAATTATATACCTTTTTTTTCAATGATTATAAAACACAAAATTAGCCCATATCAATAAAAAAATTGCAATTATGAACAACAGTAAATATGTGCAATATACAAACCCTACTATATTTTCCTTTTAATATCAAGTTCACTGATCGAAACTTGTTCACTTTCAGAAGCATTATTTATATATTAAATTGGTGTTTAAAAAAAATACAACAAATAGAATATTGGGTTTTATTTGTTACCTACAAATAGCACAAAAAATAACATAGTAAATAACTTTGTAAACAAATGTGTGGTGATTAGTGACAGTTAGTCTATGATTATTCGAACATTTCGATCTTTATTGAGATCATCTTCAGGGCCTGGGATTTACAAACATTGTTCAAATTTAACAAATACATATAGGATGTGGAAAAATGTGAATTTATATAATGCAATAAAATAGTTTTTATATTCAAAGTATTTCTACTCACTCAAATTGTTTGTAATTGTGCGATTCTTGTGTGTCGTGTTGAGAGTGCCAGTGAGATATTGCTGTTTTATGTTTATATACATTGGATTTTGAAGTGGTGGGGAAGGAAATCGGTATAAAGACATTTTTGTATAAGGAGTCGGCTTCTTTGAGGTGAAAAGAGCCGACGATGGGAAAAACCATTGGTAATGATTCGGCCAGATCATTTCAGGATTATATAGATAGGGTAAAGGAAAGCTAAATTGTTGAAAAATTAGACTATGTGAAAATGTTTTATGTGTGGAATGTGATGTGATGATATATGTATGTTATCTGTATTGAATTTGATTAATGATATTGGCGTAGCTGCTGCTGAGTTTACATGTGTCTGTTCTGTAATTGATGCTGTGTTTATTGCTGTTGATGTAAACCATTTCTAAAAAGTTACATGTTTGTTTTGTTCTGTGTGTAATATTTTTGGAGTATTGAAGACAAAATTGTGGAAAATTAGGGAAAGGAGAGACAAATTGTTGAAGAATTAGACTGTGTAGAAATGTTTGATGTGTGGAATGTAATGGTTGTTTTATATGTTGCATTATATGTTTTGTGTGATGTGATATTTGTATGTTATCGATATTGAATTTGATTAATAATATTGGCAGCTGCAACTGAGTTTACATGTGTCTGTTCTGTAATTGATGCTGTGTTTATCTCTGTGTTTTGTAAACAAGTGTTGTAACATAGTGCTGCCCACAAGATTTTGTTGACCATAAAAAATATGCTCTTAATTTTTCAACTTTTTTAACTGTTTATGCTGTGTTATTTTGTTTGAACAACTAAAAACAAATTTAAATTGCTAAGGAAAATATAAAAACGAAACATGAACCATGATCAGTTTGTTTTGTTAGATTTTTAGCATTTCCATAATGCTTGTTTCCTCCTCTTGTTGGATTAATTTGATCAGAATGAGACTGAATAAAAATTTTAAATGCCATCAAAAGTAAACGTAAACAAACAAGTAAAGTAAATCATAAGGATTAAGTGTATTCTCCTCTGCATTGGTAATCCAAATTTGTCCCAATTTTATTTTCCCAACATGGTATAAACAGTAAAAAAAAAAAAATCAAGATCAGAATTTTTTTTAATTGAAAAAATTTACTGGCTGTAATTTTTTTTGCCTGTTAGTGGGTTTAGGAAAAACAGTTCAATTTTAAAAAAATAGAATGTGTCAAAATAGCGCAACAAAGAATAATAATGACACAAGCATTGCACAACACATAAACATTAACAAAGATAATATAAATTTTAAACATGTAAAAGGCATGTCTACATATGTCTATGTAAAATACACTGCTCCAGAAATCAAAGTGGCGCAGTTTTAAATTTTGATATTTTTATGTACTTGCCTTTGCAGTAATATAAAACAAACAATTAATAAAATATAAGAAAAACTTACTTTTGTTAAGTATAAAACATTATAAAACAAACTTAAACTTTAATAAGATGTATTACTTCCTCTTGCTCATTTAGGTTTTGGGGGGAGGGCTTAATAAGGATTTTAAAAATCCTTTCCTCCACTGTGACCCATATTGTGCGATCTATTGCATAACCCCTATAAATTATTAACACACCTTGGAAAGTGCACTTTTTCCTATAAAACTAGGCACTTTCCTCGGTGCCTCTTCGCTTTAGTTGTAAGAATTATTTATCGATGTGCCTGTACCATAACCAGGTTAGTGCTTCTCATTCATAAAGATGTGCCGACATCTGGTTCTTCCTGACAGAGTCTTTGCTTTGCCCTTCTTATTTAGGTGGTAGATAAGAAGACCGTTATTTTCCTCAAATCCTGCCTGCTGAGAAAGAGGAGTTTCTTTGCTTTCCTTTTGGAGTGAGTTACAAATCAATTAGCTTGACTTGTACCTTATGATTTGTCCAGTGCTTGAGTTTTCTTTCTTAAACCATTTTTCCAGTTAAATACTCCAGTGTGCCCATTTGTGGTTCTGGCAACAAAAATAATAACTTTTATAATAATAACTTTTAATATAATAATTTTTTCTCAGCTTTTAGAAAGAACGCTCGGACGTGTGTCTTAAGTTTTTTTTTCTTAAAACCTAGTATCCAAAAAATTTACTTTAGAATCTGTGATCCTCTTGTCAATATACAAATTGTCTTCATATTCATTAAGTTTGTTTTATGATTATTTTAATTAAAAAGTAATAAATAATTACAATTTTATATAACTTATGATTAAATTGATAATTAATTTCTTTGTTCGATAAGTTCATTTTATTTGTATATCTTATATTATTTCCTTAATGCATGTATATAAAAGTTGGCATTTTCAATATTTGCTGAGACGTATAAAGAGTCTTTATTTTAATTTCATGTAGAAATGTGAATGAAACATTTTTTAAATAAATGGTTTAATAGAAGGTAGTGTTTAGGTCTTTTTAATCTTGGTTTGGCATATCAATGAATATATTTTTATGATGTCGTCTATACATTATTGGTGGGTTTTTGTGATGACCACTGAAGAAGGTGAATATCAAAGTCAATTTTTGCCGACCAAGTTTTGTGTTTTAGACAACTTTAAATCCAGGTCGTCATTTAGGAATTCGAGTATCCTTCTTAGTGCATTTTGCTCATGACATTCTGCAGTCTGCCTTATGTCATGTATCATAACATATCTCTTCATCGCAAGCTCAATATTTTAAAAAATTGTGAAATTTCCTTTTAAATAATGTTCAAGTTATGCAGTAACAAAAAATTAATCATGCAATTATCTTTCATTATAAAATAAATACTACATTTCTTAATGATTGCATTTCTTCAAAGTATTTATTGTGCAGAAAAACATCTAGATCTTATCTTTATTATTGACACATGATAAAACCAGACCAATCTTTTTTCTGTACTTTAGGAAATTATGACAGGGCTCAGCATGTACAGTACCGTTATAGTCTTCTTATGTTTTTAATAATTTCCTAATAAAAAAACTAATGCTTTATAGACTATTAAAATAATTGTTGGAATCAAAGAAGAACATTATTTGGTGATTAAAACAAAGAAATTCACATGCTGTGTGCAGCATCTTTTGCTTTTTGTACCACATTTACCCATCGTTTCAGAAATTTCAGGGATTTGTTCACCCACAAGTTATATGCATCGATTCTCTATTTAAGTTTTAAAAATTCAGTTGATATTTTTCTGATGGTACTAATTATTGCTTCCTTTTTTTCTAGTACTCACAAACAAGAACATCACTAGCAGGTGGCAATAGATGTAAGTATTTTCCTTTCTAATGTACAGTTAGTATTCATTTCGTATAGTAATTAATACTAACATAATTGATAATTGTTTTATTCATACTATAATTAAATAAAAAATGTAATTGTTTACATTAAAATGGTGGAACTTTCTTAATGATCTTTTAAAGATTTGAACAAAAAAAAGCATGTCATGGGAAGGTACAAGTATAAAACTCTCAAATTTATTATAAATTAATGCATAGTCTATAAATTTTAGTGTAATCCGAAATGGGATGACAAAACGAAATTAAGCCCTAATAAAATCTACCCTAAAAAGGAAACCTTTAATTGTATGAAATTCATACTTCATATTCACATATTTTCTCCACTTCATTGAAAACCATAGAATTACTATAGATATGCAGGGTGTATCAACTTCTATATCAACCCATTTACTTGGGAAACGATTAACTTTAGCAAAAAATGATCTTATACAAACCCAAAGTTAATTTTGGCTAGGAATCTCATCTAGCAGATGACACTAACTTTGCTGTTTTAAATGAGAATTCCATATTTATATTGTATATTGTATTCTAGAGCTTATTTTATGCCACTTTTACTGAAAGTAAAATTTTGATAGGATCGACCATTTCTGAGTTATGCCCAACAGAAGACGCGTGAGTGAGGGGGTATGCTTTTTGTAATAAGATTTTTTGCTAAAGTTAACCGTTTCCAATTTAAATGGATGGACTTTAGAAGTTGATATACCCTGTATATAAAACCTAATCTGGACCTAGCATCGCTAATTCTAAACCTAACCTAAACCATGTGCACTCCCCCATAACACGATATCAATGACGTTAAAATAATTGTCACTCTCAATCATGGAACTTACTCTTTACTCTCAAAAGATATCTATGTTTTCTACCCATGGGTGCTGAATAGTTGATGTTAAGACTATATTTTCCTGTTAATAAAGCGAGAATAAATTTGAAAATTGTAAACAGCATGGTAAATGATGGTTTTAGTGTCCAGTGAATTTTATTTTTGTGCCATTAATTGAGTTTATTTTTTAGATCGACTCAACCCGTCACGAGCTACTTTTGCAAACAACGCCAATGGCGTGTCAACAAATGAGAAACCTAGAGGAGTTGAAAATATTCCTCCAGCAACACCATCTTCTGTTGTAAATAGTTCTCTGACCAAGATTAAATCTACGGAAAGTTGTATACCTGCTGCCATCCAACAGCAACAGCAAATGCCCGCACCCCAGAATGATCCACGTGAGTTAACCAACCTTTTTCTATTCTATTAATTCACAATTAGCAAACGTTTGTCTAATGCGGTGGCCACATTAAAAGTCCTAGATAAATATTCTAATTCTGAAATCCATGGCCCTTCTAATCATTTCCCTGTTACTCACCGTATACGCTGAGATTAAAATGCTTTATAAATATTTGGACAGTGGTAGATCAGTCTGAATTTTGGGTGACGCTATATAATCAATTCTCAGGGTTCTAACTAGTTTCTGATTGTGGGTTGACACAAACCTTATATCACTATCATAGGGTTTTACTATCTCCTTTAATACATTGAATTTATCAATGAGGTTTAATTAGAATTTGTAAGAATGTGTACCTGACTTTCACCTATCTGTATCCTTCAGATATTAATCAACTTTTTGCTTTGAACTAATTAATAAAGTTAATGCATCAATTAAAGTTTCTAAAATCTTGTTGATGATGATATAATCACGGATAACCCAGCAATAAAATGTAACAATTAATATATCCTAATCTCTGATCATCCCCTTTTTTTTACATAATAACAACAGTTAAAAGCTGGTCAGTCATACATTCATTAATAGTGTATATTTTTGTTTGTATGTTGCATTTTGTTATGTATAATGCACAGTCGATTGTTTTCTTCCAGTTAATTCCAATATGGCAAGAGCTCGGCGAAGCAATGTAGTAAAGGAAGTGGAAAAGCTAAAGAAGAACCGTGAAGAACGTAGGTTACGTCAGGCTGAGAAGAAGGAAGAGAAGGAAGCTATGATGAATATAGACCCAGGAAACCCAAATTGGCAGTTCCTCGCAATGATAAAGTAAGTTTCTCCGTACATTTTTTATGCAATCCTCTTCCACAAAGCTTGCCAATAATGTTTAATAATATAATTCTTTCTATTTTCATTTATATAACTAAATTCGTTTTTCAGAGAGTATCAGTCGAATGTAGATTTCAGACCTTTAAAAGATACCGATCCTGTAGAAAACCATCAAATTACAGTTTGTGTGAGAAAAAGGCCGCTAAATAAAAAAGGTACGATTTAAAATAAGTAGAAATGATGAAGGTGGGGCGAGTATGTTGATTCAACTTTTAAAAGATTGTTTTTACTCACAGTTTTTCTCTCTTTTTTTGTCAATTCACTTTTATCAGTACTAATTATGTTTGTAATTAATATTGAAATTTTTCTAATTCAATCATAACAGCTTAAGTTTATATTTTCATTTAAATAGAAATATTTAAAATAAAACTGAGGTTAACCCTTTTGGACAGTGAGCGCTTTCCCCAGTGAGATACTGAGAGCCTGCCGTCACGCTCACTCCTACCTTGGCTCAGGTACTGCGATGTCGCACTCTAGTCCACTTTTAGACTGAAGTTCAAAGAAACAGCGTATTTGTTTGTATACGGTGTTTTCTAAATTTCCCAATCTCATAGTACTAAAAATAGTCTAGACGCACACTGCTTCTATGAACTTGAATTTAAAAGAGATGAGAGTGCTGCCACATGCTCTCACTGGGAGACGGATAGTGCTGACTGTCGTGAAAGGTTTAATTTCATTAAAGATGTGATATTAACAGTACATACCTATGTGTGTCAGATATTGTCTGACAAACGGTAAAATTAATTCATAAAATTTGCCTTGATTACATTCCCCAGTATAATATGCCAATTTATAGCACAAAAAAATAAATAAATAAAAAGTAATCAATGTGTTGTACTTGTATATATATGCTTCATGAAAAAAAAAAAAAAAAAAACAGTGTCAGGGCAGGTAACCTAACCCTAACCCAACCCAACCTAGCCCATGCCTACTCCCTGGTAACACAAAAATGGTCACACAAACAATTTACATATCCTTCCCAAATTCATATCATGTAAAAAGTTTATACCCGACAAAAGTAATAATTTTCTAAATTGTTTAAAATTATTGTTTTATTTTATTTTTGTCAACTTAAAACTCACACCGCCATCGTGGGTCTCATTGACAGAGATGAAAAAGCTAGGCGTCACGAGCAGGATTTGAACCCACGACCAGGAATTGGTGTCCGAGTGGATCAAAGTCAAAATAGCCTAAGTGGTTAGAGCAGCAGTGTATTGAGCCGAAAGTCGTTAGTTTGAATCCCACTCGTGATGCTAGCTTTTTCATCTCAACCAAGAATTTAGATAAAAAGTATAATTAATTAAAATAAGTCACTTTACTCACTCAGGTAGGAAAAAGGTTTAACTTCAAATTTCAATGCGAAAATATCAAATATGCCAGTAAGTGTGCGAGACTTGGTGGCGAAGTTTTCCATCAGAAACTCCCAAGACCAGTAAATTCTAAATTTAAAAAAATGGTACATTTACAAACACCAAAAATGACCAATCTTGCAGATTTTTTGTTAAAATGGCTGGTGCAGCTATAGACTAGGATGTATTGACCAGTAGAGGAGAAGGTACGTCAGTAGACACCAGGGTTGTACAAAACTGGATGGAAAAAGAAAATATTGCACCAGTTTTAAAGCAAAAACATTTTTAATTGCAATGAGAGGTCACTTTATTTTTTAGAGCACGTCCAGACAAAACTATACATTTCAAAAAGTAGCGTCATCAGGGAGGACAAGTTTCAAAGTTTTAATCCCTATTTGGCCCATCTTGTAATGCTAAGCATTTTTATGCTCTTATTCCAAAAGCAGACACCTCAATATAGCGGACAATGTTGCATATCCAAGGCTGTCCGGTATAGGGAAGTTTCATTGAATTTTTATTGATACAAAATGATTGTATTATAAATTGTTTAATTATGGTTGAGAAAAGATCAGCGTACAATTTATTAAATTGTAAAAAGGACAATAAAAGACAGCTTTTAATTTTTGAAAATTGTAACATTAATCCTTTTGTTACGGTCTCTTTCTTTATCATAAAAATAAAATTTGTTACATAGTCCATGTACTTGAAAGTGATTAACATAAAACTACTTTTAGGAAAAATCCAACGCCCAAAAGAAAGAGAAGAGCCAAAAAAAATATGTCCATTAATTTCATAAGGAAGTGAGATTTGATTTATCTTAATTTGTTAATTTTGGTGTTTTGATTCTAGAGTTGAGTCGAAAAGAAGTCGATGTCATTACAGTCCCTCGCAAAGATCTTATTGTAGTTCATGAACCTAAAAACAAAGTGGATTTAACAAAGTATTTAGAAAATCAACAATTCAGATTTGACCATGCGTTTGATGACACATGCTCAAATGAAACTGTATACAAGTAAGTAATGTAATTTTAATTACTTTTATATATATTGTCGTACAGCATTTTGTTACATTCATAGTTCAAGTTGTTTTTCCCCCTAACAATCAGTTTAAAACTTATTTTTACAATTCCATGAAGTTAGATTGCTTCCACTTTCACCCCTCTCAATACAGTGCTCTCTCAGCAAACTGAACTAATCGCTGCGGCTCCGTATTCAGATTACAGAGGGTATTAAAATATACATATGTAAAATAATTCAAAACAAAAATTTATTATTATTACAGACACAAATCTCGGAGTCGCTTAGCCACCAAGGTGGGTGACTCCCCCTGATTTATCAGGGAGAGGCCAGAGGCCTCCTAGGAGGTCTCGTAATTCTATTTCTATTTCTACAGATACAAAACATTAAGCCTATTAAAATACATATAAACTGCCAATTTTTCTTAAAAAATCTGTTTGTTTTTTAATTTTTTATTTTATTTAATATTTTCTTTATGGCTTCTTCTTTCTCACTCAATTTTAAGCAGTAGGTACATTATACTTAACACAAGAAAAATATAATGATCTGACAATTCATTTTTTTAGTAGTGATGGTAGGTAAGATTCACTGAACAAAAGAAATTCTCGAAAAGTCACATAGTTGAAGTTGGCCTTGGTCTTTCGTATAACCTTCCCTTTCATTCACTCACTTTCTCTCACTCTCACTCTCTCATCCTTTAAGGAACCTGTTCAACAGCAGGACATAATAAAGTTTTTTTTTCTTTTTCTCTCTCCCTTCCTTCCGCTCAAACATGTTTCATTGTTTTGTTGAAAATTCTGGCTTATTAAATTTTGTTTCAGTTTGGATTACTGGAATGTTTGGAGCACTAAAGTTCTCATTGGGGTAGAGCACTGTATTCAATGTTATCAATATCGTCAATGCATTGTGTTGTTTAAATGTGAATTATAAAAGAAATTAAAAAGTAAAAATTGGAAAGTTTAATACTGTGTAAATTGTAAAAGGAAAACCCACTCCTAACTGATAATGGCATTAGTTTACCTTTAGTGACTTAGTATGAAGGAATTTTCCTGTTTATCTCTAAAGTATTGTCGTACTGCTGGAAAATAATTTTGAATTAAACTGTAAATTTAAAAAAAAAAAAAAAACTAAAGTATACCTAAATATTCATGTTCTATAGTATATTGCTTCTGTTTGAATAGGTTTACCGCCAAACCGTTAGTTCAAACTATATTTGAAGGAGGGATGGCAACTTGCTTTGCCTACGGTCAAACTGGAAGTGGAAAGACCCATACTATGGGAGGTACATTTTCTGGGAAAACACAAGATTCGAACAAAGGAATATACGCCATGGTAGCTAAGGATGTTTTCAAGTTCCTCAATTCTCCTCAATACAAGTCACTCATAGTTACCTCGAGCTTTTTTGAAATCTACAGCGGAAAGGTAAAACCTAAACATACGAGTTTACAATTGTTTGTGAATGTGTCATTTTGTTAGGTGTTCGATCTTCTGGCTGATAAATCAAAACTTCGAGTTTTAGAAGATGGTAAACAACAAGTTCAGGTTGTAGGCTTAACCGAAAAGGTAGTCGGATCAGTCGAAGAAGTGCTTACCATCATTGAAACAGGAAATAAAGCAAGGTCTGTAACAAGTTAAATATCAGTTTTTAATAAAAAACCATTTACTATAGTTGTAATATCTCTAATATTTTTCTGGTCCCAATTTCAGAACATCTGGTCAAACATCAGCTAATTCTAATTCATCACGATCCCATGCAGTTTTTCAAATTACCCTACGTAACGAAGCGCATAAAATTCATGGAAAGTTTTCATTGATTGATTTAGCTGGTAATGAACGTGGAGCTGATACTTCTTCAGCCAACCGCCTTACTAGTATGTTTTGTGTTCTTAATTATGATGTATGCACATTAGTTGTTTATTATTTTTTTTATCATATCGTTATTTACAGGAATGGAAGGAGCTGAAATTAACAAATCACTTTTAGCACTGAAAGAATGTATTAGAGCCTTGGGAAGAAAAGGTGCACATTTGCCGTTCAGAGCGAGCAAATTGACACAAGTGTTGCGTGACTCTTTTATAGGCGACAATACTAAAACTTGTATGGTGAGTTTTTAAATTAATTAATGGTTAATAAACATAAATAGGAAAAATTGTAGGAAACACTTTTTATTTATTATGATTTTGTAAATGAATACATCAGCTGTAGAAAAACTTATTACACACAAAAAATCTAGTTTAATAAAAAAAAATTATTATAAAATTTCGGCCAACATTTTAAAAATAAATTTTGGAGCACTTCCGGTGCTCAAAATTGCAAATCCTTTACACCAAAAACAATGAACACAAAAATCTAGTTTAATATTTTATAAGAAAATTTGATCAAAATTTTCAATTTTTTTAAATTTCCGGTGCTCAAAATAGCAAATCCTTTACACCAAATGATGCACAAATAATCTTGTTTAATAAATAACATTTAATATCAATTTTTTTTTGTCAAAATAAAAAAGTTTCTTTTTCTTTTCTTCTTGTTAGTAAATAAAGTATATATTTAAATGCAATCAAACTGGCTCGGGGGATGCCTACATGTCAAAGCAAAAAAAAGTGTATATATTGTATTGTATGGTTGTTTCAGATTGCTATGATTAGCCCTGGAATGAGCTCTTGTGAACACTCACTCAACACCCTAAGGTATGCGGATCGTGTTAAGGAACTAGCTGCTAGTGATCCAACATTACATTATGACGAAGACATAAACTCTGCAAACCACGAACAATCTCTCAATCATGATGATTTGGCAGCACTGAGGTCGTTAAATGTAAGTTTTTCTTGGTTTTTATTTCTTGGCGTAATGAGTATAGTAATGTGGCGTATTGGTTGTGTGCATAAGTTTTTTTCGGTTTTCAGAAGAAAAAAGTTAACTTTCAAAATATAAATGTATTTTATTTCTAATCTGAAACATAATTTCCTTCGTTTTCTATGACATTCCCAACATTCTGGTAGCCAAAATTTTACCTTTTTATAAAAGTCTGGTGTCTTAGATTTGAAGAAATCTGTAGGTCCGATTTTCAGACCTCATTCAAAAATCCCCTATGTTTTAAGTGGTTGTCTACAGAGTGGGACAAGTAAAAATTGGAAGGGGCAAGGTCCTGGAGAGTATGGACGGTGGAGCATTTGTTTCCAGCCTGATTTGGCAATTTTACTCTTGAGTGAGGCCTGGTGTCATGGTGAAACACGACCCTGCATCTATTCACCAGGGCTGGACAATTTCGTTTCGATACTAACCCAAATTGCTTTAAGCCAGGAACACACTTACCTGATGCACCGCTACCCGATGCCTTGCCACGTTTTGGTAGGGTGTGCACATCTATCCAACGTCAAGTGCACGCCACTTACAGTCCACAGCGTGTATCACAATAATCACTATCACAATCGCAACGTCTCTTTTGTTCTTAATGCACTATTTTGAGCAAAACCTTGAAATAAATTGTTAGTTAAATTTTATGAGCACAACCATGTAATAAATTGTTAGTTAAATTTAATTGTTTTAAATAAAGTTATTCCGGTGTTTCGGTAAACTTTCTGCCTAACCATCATAATTAAATATTTTTATAAAAACTCATGAATATTTGATCTCGTTTAATTTGGTTTATATTAAAATAAGTATGTTGTAATTAATATAACGACAAAATTACATAGTTTGAAATAAACTACAAAAAATATGAATGTCCTGACGCTACTCGACAAAAATGGTGTAATTTTATGAGCAAAACTGTGTAATAAATTGTTAGTTAAATTCATTATATCAAAAAATGGTATTCCGGTGTTTTGATCAATTTTCTACCAAACCATTAAAATTAATTTTTTTAAATAAAACTAATGAATTTTTGATCTCAGTTAATTTGGTTTGTATTTTAATAAGTACGTTGTAATTAATATAACAACAATAATACATGTAGTTTGAATAAAAATTTAAGTGTCCGGTTCTTTTGTCTTCGACTGTACTCGATGCTACCCGATGAAAATTTTGACAGTGGGGATCACAGAGCGTAGAGTTGGGTGGCATTGCATCGGGTAAGTGTGTTCCTGGCTTTAGCTGTGCAAAGTATATTTCGGCTGTAAGGGTTTAGTTGTGAAGTGGTTCTCAATAATTTTATTCCTCCAATATCCCACCTTACAGACATTTGGACCTTAGGAGGATGCTTGTGTCTTCTTGACATTGTTGCATAGTTGCCTACCTGGGGGTGGTAGCAGTATTACTAGCTTACACCTCAGCATAAACCCTTTTGATTTATTCAGGTGGGAAAAGTAACAATGCAGTCTTTCTTTCTTCTGGGGAATAATTCATAGAAATCCCATAAATTAAGTTTCACAACATAACCCAAAAATCAGATTCTTCTTTCAACCGTTGTTAGATGTACCTAAAATATCTCTGAAAGGTCTGCTACAGACAAATTGTCCTCTTCCAACAAGGCTAGTCATGAATTATCTCTCCATTATGAAAATTTTTGAACCACTATTGATACACATGTTGAGTTACGATGTTATCACTGTAAACTCGCATAAATTTCATCGGCTGCTCTATGCCCAAGATCGACCTCGGCAAGCAGTGCCTTTGCATGTCATAGTTTATTTTTGACTGACTTTTCTGATCAACTACCCCATTCTTAATAATCGCATTAAATTGGGCTTTTTTCCACCCTAGAGCTAACGGGTAGGGCTAGCAGGATCAACTTTGTAAGGGTGAAAGTAAAAATTAGAAAAAAAGACAAAAACTTCTGCACACACCCAATAATAATTATAATTTGGCACCTGTTTGAAGTAACAAGTACTGACTAGTTTACCTGATAATAAAGTTGGAAATATACTATGTATAATATTGTAATAAGTGAAATAGTAAATGCCACTTTATTTTTGTTTGTTTTTGTTTAACAAAGGAAGGAGAAATATCTGCAGATTTATACAATTTCCACGAAGCCATTTCACATTTACAACAATTAGAAGATGAGGTTTTAGATAGTTTTAAACTGTGGAGGGAAAATTCTCAAAAATGGGAAACTCGGGAAAACCAGCTTCTCTTGATGACAAAACATGTGGATTATGATCAAGAAGGTGAGAACAACACTCTTTGTTTGGTGTCTTATATTTTAATGGGCGTTATCGTGTGTTACACTCTTGCACTTATCATACTTGAGAAACTGTATTTGAGAACTGAATGAAATCCTATTTTGAAGCATGAACGTGGATTGAAACTAGTTAATTTTAATTGGTATGTTAAAAATAAACGTTGTAAATCCTTTTATGAATCTTTAATTATTTATATTTGCACTTATTTATTTATTTATTTAAGCAAGTGTATTATAGTTTTTAAAATTGATTTATTATTATTAATAAAGCATGATTTGTATTTTTAAAACTTTCTTTATTATCAAGAAAACCAATTTTGTGGATGGGTTTGATGTAATGCAATGCACTATGAAACAAGGATTGAGGCAAATATGAATGCATGTTTCTCTACTGTATCATCACATTATTTTCTTACAAAAAGAACATTTCTAAAATTGAAATATGTTATTATTACTTTTATTATTTGTACTTACAACTTCAGGTGTTATTAACGTAAATAATGTATAAACATAATGAAGTAAACACATGGGTTTAAATTAAGGCAGTTTTTATATTTAGCTTAGAGTTGGATGATGAAATATTATTAAACTCGTTTTTTTTAAGGCCCAATGCACACATGTAGTTTTTTGCCGATTGGTGCCACAGCAGTAGTTTTTTCATAGCGTTTCCCTCTGGACCGCAGTGGCACTGCAACAAAATGGCATCACTTTACTGTTATTTGGCACGACTTTGAACACCCAATTAGTATTCTCCTTACTTCCAATATTTCAGTTCCGGAATTTCTTGTTGCCAACAGAACTGCTTGCAATGGCGGATGAAATTTATTTATACAAGAAATAAAAAAATATCCTGAAGTGTGAAATGTTAAAAGTTGAAAATTTTGTCTATTTTGTTTGTAAACGTAGCCTTGAACACAAGGTGAGGACAAATGCCTTATTTCTTCGATATCCATCCAGTTTGGTGATCGTATGCATATTTGAAGTACATCAGTTGCTGCACCCCTGCTGCAGGACTGAGCAAGTGTGCATTGAAAAGGTGTGGCACCATAGCCAAAAAACTGCATGTGTTCATTGGGCCTAAGTCAACTGAATCTGTTATATAAAAAAGATTGCTATCTTCCTTTATAATTTATTCTCAATAAATCGTTGACAAACAAAATTATGAATTATTGAGTAATAATAATTAACTGGAAGTAAGTGAGTGAATGAATGAGAATGTGAGTGTGGGAGAAATATAAAGAGAGGAAGAAAGAAAGAAAGAGCGAGAGGAGTGAGTGAGTGAAAATAAACATTTTATTGAACTGTTTAAAACAGCTAAAATCTTTAAATTTACTCATTGTATTGACTGAAAATTAGATTTTTTAAAAGTGTAATTAATATTTTAGTAATTAAAAACGAATAGAAATATTTTATAGGGATTTTGAGTTCTATCAGAGGAGAAAAATTATGACGAACTGCAGTTTAACCTGAAATTAAACCGAAAAGTTGATTGTTGAATTCTTTGTCAATAATTACAAAAAATATTCATCGCATTATCAAAAAAGTTCTGTAAATTCAACGGCCTGGAATAATTTTTAAATTCATGTAATTTTTTTTTAAACTATTTTAGAGAAAAGAAATTTTTTTGAACTATTGCTAGTTCTCTGCATGGTCTGCAAAGCGATGAACTTGTAGATCGTTTATTTCTGAACATTTCAGTTCACCTATCCTCACTGTTTTGGCAACCAAACCAGCGAAGACAGATCGGACCAAAATGATAAGTAATGATGAAATTTTTGATCAGTGAATAGTTTACGTTTTTTAAGAAATTTCATGAAAAGTCAAGAATAAGTTCAATGATCACTGGTCATGAATACTTTATTAAACATAAATAATTATCATGTCTCTGTAAAATATTAAGATTGACTGTTTAAAATGTCTGTTGGCACAACAGTTAGACTTCACTGTAAGAGGTCCCCAGATTTCTTATAAATATGCTTTTTTTCAAGAACATCTTGGATTAATACGACCTCTGCTGTTGCAAACCCTTGTTTATTAAAAAAATAACCCATATTATAAAGCGACCATGTCTATGGTGCATCTCCATTGCTGTCTAGAACTCCTTGTTAAGCAGGCTTGCAGTCACTGGTAGTGCACCCGCTTACTTTTTCCTATTCATGGAATCAATGCAAAAGGAGGCCTTACAACTTGGTTTTGGTAGTAAAACAGCAAGAGAGCTGGTTTTATATACCACCCAAGGTTCTGCTGCCTTGGCAGCAAGCAAATCAGATCTTTCTTTCGCAACACTAAGGGAACAAGTGACCTCTAAAGGTGGGACTACGTCTAAACTTAGAGCAGTTTTATCAAGCTAATTTACCTCAAATTGTCACCAACGCAATGAAAACCTGATTCCAAAGCTTTTTCAAGGACACTAACAGAGGACATGTTCATATCTGTACAGGCTGCTACTCTGAGTCTATATGCCTCCAGTCAGCAGTGTCCAATCCAGTTAGCAGTCCAAATATTATTCTAGCCTTAACATGTCCTGTTCCATCTGGATTTAAGTCAAAGTCTTAGTCAGTCTCAGTTGGGATGGTGTCAGAACTAGAATTAGATATGTGGTTGAATTGTCAGATCTGACCGCTCCTCACTAATTCAACCACTTGTTGAACCACGTGGCTAAACATCATACTATAGTTAAAGTTCAATGAGAACCTTAGTCCGAATCTGGGTTTGAGACAGTCTGAGTCGGCCAGAATCAGTGTGAGTTGAAATGGAGTCAGAACTAGAGTTAGAGTTCAATGAGATAGTCTGAATTATGGTTAGAGTTAAAGTCGTCAACCTGGGCTACATTCCCATTGAACAAAGGGCTTATTTTTAATCCATTGTATGATGGATTCATGTTTTTGCAGTTTAGTATGCCATAAAAGGATTCAGGGCCAATAGGTGTCCTCATCAAACTTTCCTCATTGCCCCTTTGTGCTGAGTGTCCTGATACCCAGCTAAGCATAATTTTGTTTTCTCCAATGTTCGACAAGGTCTAAACAATCCAAAATGACTGCATTTTACCACTGATGTGGTAAGTGCCCTCAGTGCTGCCTGGCTGTCCGATAGCTGTTCTATTAAATTGTAAAAATCCCTAAATTGTAAACTATTATGTTATTACTAGACATTTTTGCAAAAACAATATTTTTCTTTCAGTTTCTCATTTTTGGTTATCTGGTTTTATTGCATCAGCTACTGATGAACCATGAATGATTGGGTCGTTACTGATCATTTCGGCCTATCCTCGCTGGGTTGGTCTGTCATGCACGTTTCCGTATTTTGCCATCTTCAGTCTGACCAGCAAGTGTAGGAAGACTGAAATGATTAAGTAACACAATTTTCTATCTGCTTACAAAATAGTCTTGATTTTGAAAAACAAGATAATGAAATTGTTTATTTTAATTACAAAGGGAAAAAAGTGAGTATGTGATCATACAATGTGCTGGTATTTAACTATTTTATTGTGAGATTTTTTTAAAAGTTATGTAACCAAAAGAATAAATAAACGTTTTTTTTAACTTGTTTCAGCGTTTGCTACTGACTTAGAACAAGTATTAAATGAAAAGCAGAAACAACTTCAGGGCTTATTGGAAAAAGTTCTAGTTTTTAGAAATCAGTTAGTAGCTGAGGAAGAGATTTCAAAGAAAATGACTGACAAACCCCACACCCGTGCATTACACTAATCTCGTCTATTGAATAGAATTTAATCTTTACCATCAGCGTATCACAATTATTTTACATTTTGTTATTAAACATCTTCCTTTTTTCTTTACTTTTTTATTTCATGTGGTTTTCTTTTTAATTTTTTTTTTAAACCTGTATTCACTAAGTGAAATTGAATGTTAACAATAAACATATTTTAAAAAAATGTAAAAGAATAAACGATCAGACTAAATAATAAATAACAAAAGATAATGTATCACATATATTGTTAAAAAGTATACCCACATGATGATAAAAATTGTTAATAATTATAAAATCAGTTGAATTTGAAAACTACATCTTTCTTCACTGTTTTATCGCTGTCAAACACAAAATTTTCCAATTCAAAAGGCAATTATGTGAGTGTATGGCAACCTATTAAATATTTAATTGTGTTTTATGTATTTTTTAAAAATATTTATATTAATGTTTTAATGTTTCAAGTTGTGATTCTGTAAACATTCATTTGTCGCAGTTTACTCCAATAACAATGTGAAATTTAAATTAGATTATTGTAATTTACTTCATATTACTAATTAAATTGTTTAAAAAAACATCTACAATGAGTGCTTTTATCCTGTAAAAGTTATTTCTTAATTGTTAATGAACTTAATTAGAAAAACATTGCATTAAACTAATTAAAATTAATTAATTAATTTTTTGAACAAATCTGTATTTATTTGAGCTGTCCCAAGTCACTTTACGTGGGCAGTATTATTATTTATATGTTTGTTATTCAGTTAAGAATTTATAAAATTCTAGAGCACATAATAATTATGAAACTGACCTGTTGATTGACAAAAGTAAACTAATGTGAGTAATAATTTTTTCTCTCTCTCAAATAAACCATGTGATAATGTTTACTCGCAGAAAAAAAGTCAAAGTTTGTAAGTGAAATCGCCATTTACTTTGTCAAAAGGATTTTTTTTTAATGTCTTTTGAGGCGAAAGGTTTTTGTTTTAATTTTTTCCACGAGGAACAGTAAATTATTGTATTTTATACAAATTCTTACAGGAACGAGTCTCTTTTCCGTTGGTTAGATCTTTATACAGGGTATCACCTGACTAATTATGGTCAGAGAATATTTTTTACACAGTTCTTTAACGGTATTCGCTGAATTTTATAGTTCAAATAGTTCAGTATTATTTGTAATATGCGTACCCTTGCCAGTTATACTTTAACTTAAATGCTTATTTTATTATATATTCCTTGTTACATTCACACAACAAATAAACTCGTTCTAACAATTTTTTTTTCTTCTTCATAGCACTCCAATTTTATTAGGTGATCTGAAACACGCATATTTTGTCGGCTCTTATTACCACAAATTTATTTTATAATAGTATAAACATTTTACTTTTTATAATAAATCAATTCTGAATACTCAAACTAGTTATAGATTTAACTTTCAGTTGAGTATATTTAGTGCCTAATGCACCTTTGGTTGCATCCTATTTATATTTTTGTAATAATTAAATTATATTTAAAGAAAAAAAGATATATAAACTGTTAATTTGTAGATAAATTGTTAAGAAAACTGAAAATTTTCATCGGCTGTTTTGAAGGTGAAAAAAAAACGAAATACTCTCGAACATTACAATATACAAAATGCATGGAATATTGTAAGTTTTCACAATGAACTTAATATGAGAACATTGTAATATTGAATATCAGATGTTTATTTTTATTGCTGAAATGATGTAAATTTTGTTATCTACCGATGAAAAACATGTATTCTGAAGAGCAGTTTGTAAATTCACAGATTGACTTTTAGTTTAATTTTTTCTTACAAAACTATTAATCTTTTTTTACTTTAATAAAATACAAATCTGTATATAAAAACCATTAGTGTATGCTTAGCTTTCATTATTATAATGATTGTAACTGTTAATAACCAAATATAAACAAAGGCACTTAGTACCAGTGATATTGGACATATAAACGCATTATTTATTATTAATCCTTTCTTTTTAAAAAATGAGAAAAATTATTTCCTTGAGATAAGTTGATTCTCCTTTTCTGCCATTCAACAATTATATGAATTGTTCTTTTTCTCTATTTCTGCGCTGTTGAATTTTTCCTGGTTTCTGTCAGAACCAAGGGGGTTATTGAATGTTTTTTTTTATCACCTGACTGAATGAAATCAATTTCTTCCAGCTACTGAAATTGATTTTTTTTTAGTATTGTACGAATTCTTTATGGACTCTGCAGAACCTGTTTATGATTATATTGGCCCTTTTTGTATTGTGACCCAACAACAGACTGAAATGATCAGAAACGGCCAAACTACATACAGTCGACTCTTGATAATTCGAAACCCTAAGAACCACAACAATAATTTGAATTATGAGTTAAGAAAAAAAATTGTTGAGAGTTGATATGCATTTTTCCAAGTTATTACTTAAATTGAACGTATATAAAACATAGTAAAAATAATGAAAAAGCGGAAATAGATCAACTGTAAAATTGAACATTATTAAAAAAAAAAAGTGAAGTGTTTTTGTTTCAACGTGGCCTGGCATTCTTTGTTTAAATGATTTTCCAAAGTGGCCAGTGCTGAGATACATTGATAAAACACTGACTGCAGAACATAACAAACTAGAGAAAATTCAAAGAAACTTTTTAGGCTCTAAGAAAGTAAACAATATATGCAAATTATATGAGGAATATAACAAAAAAAACTGCAAATTATAAATATGGGAAGTGGCTCCATTTCAATTAATAGCATGCTTTTTCTCTTCCTGTTACGAAAATATTTCATATTACCAAGGGTATCGAAATGCACAGAATTTTTTCAGTTTACCTAAGTGACCTGCTGAGGAGTTCGTATTATCAAGAAATTCAAATTATGAAGTTTCGAATTAATGAGAGTAGATTATATTTTTAGTTACTTATTCCTGAATATCGGTAAGCTTACAAATGTTGAGATGATAATGGATACAAGCGTTAAATGTTTCGTGGTTGGCCCATTTCAGCAAGCACGGTAAGAAGATTAGGAAACGCTTCCAAGAATGCTGATGCAAAATCCAGTCAACTCAGAAGAAATTCAAATGTATTTAGGTATGTGCTATTTATAATCGATCGAGTGATAAAGTACAATGCTCTTTCAGTAATCCAAACTGATCATTGCAAAGGTTGGCCCCACATTAATGTATTTCGATTGTAGCGGGTGTTAAAAAAATACATGTATATATAGAAGAAAAAAAAACAGTTTCAACATACACTTTATTGCACACATAAAACAATAACCATATATACTGTCAATTTTTCTTTAAAATATCAGTTTTTCTCTCATTTTTTAGCGTTAGGGATTACTGAACAAAAGAAATTCTCCAAATTTTGTGTAAGCATCTTGGATTTTTGTAAACTCTACCTCTCACTCACTTTTTTCTATCTCCCTCTTGCTTATTCATCACTCTTTCTCACTTACTGTGCCTATAGCCTTGTGGAACTCCAGAAGTTAATGGTCGAAAGGAAGAGCAAATCCCACCTGTTACTACACACTGTGATCGCTTAGTAATAAAGGATGATAAAAGTTTACTAGCAGAGGAGAAAGAGAAATGATGCCGAAGTTTCAGCAACAAGACCCCATGCAGAAAAGAACCAAAAGCAGTTCTAAGATCGTAATGGTAGTCTGATTACGTTCAAAACCAGTGGGAATAACTTCATTCAATCTAATCTCACAACTGTGTCCCCTTCGGAACCTGGATTGAAAGTCACACAGATGTTTGAATCAATATACATACTCTTGGCTGATTTTGCAAAATCTCAAAAACCTTATCAGACCAGACAGGATACTAATTGGTCTAAAGTGACTAACATCTACTGCTGTATTTTTATGCTTTTGAAGGGAGAGTTAGAAGGACATGTAAAGTGCCTGTTGAGTAGATTACAATCAGGATACACACAAGAATTTTGATTCAGGACCTCAGTTCTATTGAAGGAAGGGAATTGTCAAAGACATGCGCAGAAGTATGCTTTCTTACCACTGCGAATGGTCAGTTTAGCTCTGTTAGACAGAACTTTATATGATGAAAAATCACCCAAGATCTGCTCCTCTTATTGTAAGCAAGATCCCTAATTTTGAGCTGATTTAAAATAGTAGGAGATAACCAACATAGGGAGTTCTGTTTAATGATAAACATTTTAAAGGGAACTACAGAATATCATTGATAGTGTGAGCACAGTCAAGCTCCTCAGGAACTTACAAGGAAGACAAAGAAGTGGAATTTTTCCAGGGACATGCCATGAAAGTAAGGTTGGGGTTTATGTCGTTTGATGTTATATTTTAAGCCCAGTAACTTGTGTTTGGAAACTTAGGTATGCTAACTGTACATACTGACAAATGCAATCAGCTTTTTTTGGCAATAGTAAGGTCAATTCATGCTGGCATTGGGTTACTTATTGGTTATGTTGTGGTTGGTTCACTCTCGGGTTTGAGTCAATGGTGGGTATTGTTCTGCGAGTCTGTAAACTCATGCTGAAACTATATTGAGCCATTTTTGGGCCTGTCTTCACTCGCAGGTTTGGATGTTGGCTGGTTTGTCAAACCTGTTTGTCAAGCATGTTTGATCATGTGTGGGTTCATGTTTGAAGGTTTGAAGGCGTGTTTGGTGGTTTTCAGGCTCTGCTAGAAATCGTGCTGTCAAACATGAGGTTTGACAAGCAAGTTTGATCGAGTGGGCGAGCATCAAACTGTCAAACCTTCAAACCATCCAACCATCTTATCTTTCTCGACAACTACAACTGTTTCTTTGTATCTGTAGTTTGGTTGCTATGCACTTTCATAGTTCGGCTGATATGACTCATAATTTCTGTTTACATACTAGTTTTATTGATGGAACCCATCAACGTGTGGAACAAAACTTTTTTGAGTGAGTTTATTGAACAATACAAAACATTTCCTGAACTCTGGCTTGTGAAAAGTAAAGATTACAGTAACCGCGATAAGAAGAATGCTGCGCTCAACAACCTTCTCTCCAAGTTACACGAAATTGAACCCGGTGCTACTGTAGCTGATTTGAAACAAAAAATCAATTCATTGCGAACTTCTTGGAGAAGGGAACACAAGAAAGTCTTGAACTCCGCAAGATCTGGCGCAGGGGCCGAAGACATATATGAACCAAGTCTTTGGTATTACAAATCACTGGAGTTTATTAGCAAAAAGAAAGAGAGAGAAAAAGGAGTTGGAAAAAATAAGGAACAAAGTTCACATGATGAAGTTCTTCAAATCCTAGGGGAACAAATTAAAAAGCAGGCTGAGAATCCAAGCCTTTTGGACAGGTTTGATCACTTGGGTAGCTTGCCTGACTTCATGCCAAACTGAAACTTGAAGCATGTTGGACAGAAGTTTTTAACAAACAAGTTTGACCGTGTGGGTACAACGTCAAACTTCAAACATGTTTGACAAACCATGTTTGTCAAGCATGTTTGATCGTGTGTGGCGGCCTTAAGGTCATAGTGAGATTTTTCATGTGTTGGACAAGATTAAAAGATGTGTACTGTGTAGATTAAGGGAATTCATTATATCCCACCATGTACCACTTTGGTGTAAGTTAAATTACATAAATTTTTTTCCAATCCCTCTATTTCTTTACATTTAGTTTCCATGAAAGCGTCTTTTGATCTATATTTCTTTTCATCTTTTCCCTAAAAAAAAGTTTCCTTTTTATTTTCCGAGGTTGGGAATTTCTTTTAGCCATTTCTGATTTACTGTAGCGTCAGTGGAATCAGATGTCGGATTCTTCCTGAATTCTTTTCTCTGCGAGTTTTAGACGATTATTGACGACCAGCTGATTATTATTGACAAAATTATCAGACTTTAATATAAAGAAAGGTAAATTAATAATAATAAGTTGGGATTTTTTAAACGAAATGAATTTTGCCGCTCACCTATGACGGAATTTAAATGATTCGATGTTCGTTCACGACTGAATCGTTCACCTTATCACATTTCAGCCCTCGGTTACAGTTTCAGATTCAGTTGAGGTACTGAAAAACATTATTTAGACTTTGTACTTCACGGGTCACAGATACTTGGCTTGATTTGACAGTGACTTCGTCTTTCAGCTTAAATTCGCTTTTCTTGCAATAAAGAAAACGATGCTTGCAGTCAGTAGGTTGCGGCTTCTCACTCCTTCTGTAAGTAAACCAGAATTCTTATCGCTTTTTGTGGAGTATTTTTAGAAATTTTTGACCAATCACGATTGAATCCTGATGGACAAGATTATTTATATTAATTTATTTAGATGATAAACTTGTCTTTTCAATACAGAAGTATTGCCATTTTTAATTTTTTATTGACAATTGTAATTCAATAACGGAGAGAACAAAAATAAACTTTTTTTTTATCCTGGCGTTTCATCGTATGTATGTGTTTGAAAAGGGAATCTGAGAGGTGAGGATCAGAAGCCGAGGTCATTAGGGAAGACAGTGGTTTGTCTTTGAGGAGGGTACACGAGCCGGGAAACAGGCTTGACCCTTCTGCGGAAGTTCTTTAATGCCTGATTGCTCTATTTCCACTCTGGCTCGTGGAGGTGGCCGGGTCGAGCAAAGCAATAAATATATATGCACATAGACTAAAACATAGAATTATACGCTCAGGTATGTTAATATGTGCATATGACATCTGCATTCTGTCATACATGTTTGCTTCTTACTGGCCACCATTTCAGTCTCATAATCTCAGTTACATATTCGAGCATCGCTGTGTAGTTTCTTTTGCCTTTCTTCTCGCATAATGATGTGGATCACTGTCTGTTCTTTCCCACACTCTGCTAAATTGATGCTACGTAGCTTGTGAAGTTCCATTCTTGTAATAAACTGTGACATGCTGCGGGTGTTTCAGCTTCAGCCTTTGTGATATTGACGGCAGGATGTCATAGGTGTACCTATCTTTAGTACTGGTGTTCCACTGCATTGCCACTCACTCACTGCTCACCCTTCCATTTCCCTTATATTCGTGGATGGTATCTGCAGGGGCTCCTCTCTCTTTAGGAGCCAGATGGCCTTTGTTGTGCAAGGATCCAGGAGCAGATCATCTGTAATGCTTGTGTAGAGTTTTTTAGGCTCTTGGTACTTTCAGCAAGGTATTTCTCTGGGCCTGTAATAATGTTTGAGCTCACATTTTGTCAATGTGTGCTGAACAAATCGTAAATGATTATTGCTGAGGCTATTATTTTCTTTTGTCGGACCAAGACTCCCCAGACCACAACTGATGCCCTCAATGTGGTTTTTGAAACTGATATTGAGGTACCTTCCTCACAACCCCTTGGTACTTGAAATTGTCAGGGCATTGTAAAGTACTTTCTGGATGCGAAGTTGTATGTGATCTGCACTGTCAGGGTGATTCGAGATGAATGAGGCTCTGCCTATCTCGTCTGTACTGACTCCCTGAGTGCAGGTTTTGCTATCCTTGACAGATTTTTGTTGGACCTCTTGTTGTACTCTTGCTAGAGTATCAGCAGTGCCTCGGAAAAACAGTGGTAGTTGTTTGTACATGGACATGTTGGGCTGGAGGGAACAAACATGCAGACGAGGTGAAAGCTGGGTCATATTATCTCCAAACAGAACCTACGTAATCAGGCCCACTGATGCTGTATGAGTAGTGAAGAATGCAAAGAACACTGAATGCTGGATTGTCTAAGAGATGTCAAGAACATGACATGACGGACCACTGAGAGTCTGAAATGAAAGTAAGGGATCATGCTCACCCATTTGAGGATAGGTCATACCCGATTGATACAGCTTGATTGATTTTTGGGGCAAACCCTGCACAAGGGTCACACTTGTAGAGAATGGCTAGTGTGTCACTTGGTCGAGGGAAGTCAGGCCTGTCCGGTGTATGTATGATGCCCGATACAAAAACAGTTCTTGTTGGGTCCCCAGTGCTTCTTTTTAAGGGAAACAGGTGCCTTTCTGTTTATCCCATGGAATTTAAACTTCTTTTTTTTTTACCAACTCCTACCAAGTGACAGGTATACTTTTGACAGTCAATTTTGTGCTGTAACAAGGCTATGAGGCTATGTGATGATTGTGGATATCCATAGTAAATGAAAAATGTGAAATTTTCTACCTGAAATCAAACTTGAGCAATAAATAGGTTGACTAGGATTTTTGGCAATAAGTGATGATAGAGTCATAGAAGACTGTAGGGAAACAAGTTGAGCTTTGAATCTCAACAGTTCTACTTTAAAAGGAAAATTAAACATGCTAATTCAAATTCTTAAATTCCAGCTTACAAATTGTACGAGGAGCTTAACCAACCAGGTTGAAAAAACATCAAGTGTCCCCGGTTTGAGTGAAAACGTATTGAAGGTCCCTTCACAAGGTGAGTAGCAGTCTTCACTTTAAGAAAAAACAACCTAATTACATACAACCCATTTGAATGAAGAAATTAATTGAAATGTTGTTTTAGAGGTCGGCCCAGGAGCGACCAAGGATGGAGAATACAAGAATCCTGAATACTTCTGTTATAACAAGACGTCATATTTTGAAGCTGAAATTGAAATGCTGAAGTTTAGACTGCCACAACCTATAAGCAAGAAGTAGAAACCCATGTAAATAATTTATCGACTGTTGTAAATTAGCTAATAAAAATAAAATTATAAAGTGTTATTATATTTACTTGTTTGTACTTCATTGCATGGCAACTTTATTTCCACTAAAAATATTTGGATACACTGAATCGTTAAGCATTGTGAAATTTGAAATGAACTTTTAACTTAAAAGAAAAAATGTCTGAAATGTTAATAATTGAAAAACTTGGAAAAACTACTGATGTTGATTTAACTTTAACAACTATTAATGCTGATGGTTGCCGGTCTGTATGAACATATTTTAAATAGGCACTTTATCATTCTACTAGGTCTTTCTACTTTCAAGGGTTGAGATTTCACTTAGCTTTATGCCATCATCATTGACTTCTCCATATTGGCATTAAAAATAAACTTCAAATCTGCATATTTTCTCCACGTCATGGAAAAACATTGAATCATGGATATGACAGCCTAATCTTAACCCTACCTAACCTATGATGATGATGAAAAAGACTAGGAAGTGGGGGTTTAGTATTCCCAAGGACTTTAGCCATTGGGATTATTGTATTCCTTGTTCCTTTGTATAGTTCAATTGATCCGATTCTTCTTTTAAGAAATAGATCATTGTCTTTGCACAATTTCTTTTGACGTTCTTGTTACACTAGGCTATGTCATCATTGAGAGGTTTATATGAAGTTGAGTGACAGTTCTTCAATCCACAGATTTTTTGTTAAGAAACTTCACTATAACTTTTAACAAACCAACGACTTTTCGATTAAAAACTGCACAATAACTGTTAACAACCCATAGATTTTTCGTCCAAATACTTCACAAAAACTTTTTTGTAACAATTTTTATAGAAATTTCAATAACTCTTAACAACCAAGAGATTTTACCCCGAGAAACTTCATGATAACTTTTAACAACCCGAAGATTTTTCGTCGGGAAACTTCACAATATCTTAATAACCCAACAATTTTTCTATTGAAAACATAATAACTTTTAGTAACTCAGTTTTTTTGTCCAGAAACTTCTGAATAATTTTTAAAACCAAATTTTTTTATCGCAGGGAAACTTCACGATAACTTTTAACAACCTAAAGTTTTTTTCGTCGAGAAACTTCACAATAACTTTTAACAACCCAGAGATTTTACCCCGAGAAACATCAAAATAACTTTTAACAACCCAAAGATTTTCCATCGGGAAGCATCACAACTTAATAACCGAACAATTTTTCGATTGGAAAATTAACAATAACTTTTAACAACCAAGATATTTTACGTCGAGAAACTTGGCGATAACTATTAACTGTTAACAACCCATAGATATTTTTATCACAACACCACAATAACTTTTAAGTACCCAAAGATTTTTTCCTCGAGAAACTCGACGATAACTATTCAAAACTCAAAGTTTATTCGTCGAGAAATTTACAATAACTTTTAAGAAACCTAAGTGTTTTTCGTCGAGAAACTTCACAATAAATTTTAACAACTCAAATATTTTTTCGTCGCGAAACCACAAATACAATAACTGATATCAACCCATAAATATTTTTATCACGAAACTACAGTAACTTTTAAGAACCCGAAGTTTTTTTCGTGGTGAAACTTGTCGATAACTATTCACAACCCAAAGTTTATTCGTCGAGAAATTCACAATAACTTTTAGCACCCCAGAGATATTTCGTCGAGAAACTTCACAATCAATTTTAACAACCCAAAGATTTTTCGTCACGAAACCACAATAACTTATAACAACCCAGAGATTTTACGTCAGAAACTTCACCAATAACTTTTAACAACCTCCATATTTTTTCGTCACGAAACCACAAATACAATAACTGTTAACAACCCAGAGATTATTCTTCGAGAAACTTCATGATAACTGTTAACAACCCATAGATATTTTTATCACGAAAACGCAATAACTTTTAACAACCCAAAGATTTTTCGACACGAAACCACGACTAGTTTTAAGAACCAAAGTTTTGTATCGTTGGGAAACTTCACGATAACTTTTAACTTACAAAAGATTTTTCGTCGGGCTTCCAGGCTGAATGTTAGTGACAGCAAATTGTATTTATTGGCTATTGCGAGAAATGTCATCGGTTTGAATTCGACGTTTGGTTGAAATATTTATTGGTCCTCCGTGGTGTTCTTGAATGTGCTGGGGGGGATCGTTGTGCGTCGACGGGTGGGGGCTGACTGGAGACCTTGGCTACGCCGGCACGGACGCCCACTATCCACTCGACCCTACGATTCATCACAGATAACATTCTTCACAGAATATGAGCAAATACGCGAAGCTTAGATCTTCGGGCATGATGCCCACCGTCGGCTTTGGCACTTGGCAGGTAAATATTTCACCCAACTTTTTTCCTTGCTGTGTAACATCAACCGTCTATGGTTTTATGATGTGGATTTTTCAAAACTCACTTTTCCCACGCCTAATTTGCGGTTTTTCTTGGCTTCGACCAATTGACATTCAACAGAAAGCACCAATTCAAAATCTTTAAGTAGGGAAAAAGCAACCAAACCAAGCAAACAAGTCCCACCCGAATTCTTTTGGCCCGTAAATATTTAACGTTCAGGCCGTGACATTCTTTCCAATTTTGGTATATTGTTTATTGAAGCAATTGAAAGGGGATACGATCAACTGATAAAAAGGGAAGGCATGTTTAAACATTCCGCCTTGATTAATTCGCCAGTTGATGAACTCCCATAAAATAAATTCTATATGTAAATAATTACTTAATTAACTAATTATTATTAATTAAGTATACAACATAAAACATACATAAGCATACACGAGATTTAGTTCTAAGCGCGATAGCTAACGTCTTCTTATTGCAGGTTGCAGGTGCATAGTACGAAAAATCTTAGGTTGTAAAAGTTATTGTGTAGTTTTTCGACGAAAAGTCTCTGGGTTCTTAAAAGTTATTGTGGTTTTTGTTGATGAAAAAATCTTTGTATTCTTAAAAGTTATCGTGACGTTTCTCGACGAAAAATTGTTGGATTTGTTAAATGTGATTAAGAAGTTTCTCAACGAAAAATCTTTGGCCGTAAAAATTATTGTGAAGTTTTCGTTGAAAATCTATGGATTGTTAAAAGCTATCATGAAGGCTCTCGACGAAAACATTTTTGGGTCGTAAAAGTTATTGTGGAGTTTCTCGACGAAAAATAATTGGGTTGTTAAAACTTACAGTGAAGGTTTTAGACGAAAAATCTTTGGGTTGTTAAAAGTTATCGTGAAGTTTCTCGACGAAAAATAATTCTTGACGAAAAATAAACTTCACTTACTGTGAAGTTTTTAGACGAAAAATCTTTGGGTTGTTAAAAGTTATCGTGAAGTTTCTCAACGAAAAAACTGGATTTTAAAAAGTTATTGTGGAGTTTCTCGACGAAAAATCCATAGGTTGTTAAAAGTTATTGTGAAGTTTCTCAACGATTAAAAAAAACTTTGGGTTCTTAAAAGTTATCATGATGTTTCTCAAAAGTTCACCGCTTCGCTGAGGAACACCCAACATCAATCTACTGCATAGGATATGCTGTGTTTGTTTCTGGCTCCTCTGGACACGGTCGACACTGGTCATCTGTTAATAATCTCGTTTTTAAGTAGTATTTCATGGGAGTTTGTAACTCTACCGGTCAGAGCTCTTGTAAATTCCTTTCTATCGAGTAGCATTTCCTCGTTCTAAGCGTGTGCTTTTGCGTTTTGTGCCGTATGAGTCTATCTGTTATCTGATTTTGTTTTTATAGTTGACCCCTTGAGATGTTTGTTGTGCGGTCCTCTTGGTTAGGAGTTTACGACCCTCTGTGCCCGTTCCCGACAAGTTTTATAGTTTGCCCACTTTGCCCTTTTTTATCTCAAATTTTCCTCTATTGACGGAAATAGTTCTGTGGCCCTGGGTACGATTTCCGGCGTTGCCCTCGGAATTTTCTCCAACAACGCGCGTATACAAATTTGAAAATAGGGGGAATTGTAAAAGGTTCACAAGACAAATAGTTAGTTGAACGTGAAGGGAAAAAATTAAGCTTTGATCCATTTAATTGGGTTTTAGACGGATTTCTTTCACTTTTTGACGGGGGGCAAAGTTAACCATTAGGACCTTTCTCCATTCGCCTAATCGCATTTGACAAAGTCAGATTCAATATATTTTAGCCCACTTTTCCAGGGCAAATTTAGCAGTTGGACAATAACCCCGTTTATCCTATCTAATGAACGTTTTTCTTACGGCATAAAATAAAGTTTGGACTCTTAACAGGCAACTTAATCCGTTCCTTTGTGTTTGTTTAAAAGTCAAAGGAAGCGATAGTAACTTTTATACACACGGTTTCGTGACGCAAGTCATCCGGTACATCATTAACGATAATAACAGTAACGATTTCCATTTACAAAAAAAAAAAAAAAAAAAAAAAAATTAATTGATTCTATGTGATGTTTTGCAATATTTTAAACTTTGATGTCCGGTAGAAAAGACTTCAGTTCAAAACTGATTGTATAACGACTAGATCATAATAAAATTATGCGTTAAATTTTATTGAAAATTTACTCCTTTCGGGCCAAGTATTAATAGGTAATAAGTCGTCAATAAACCTTCGTGTTTGTAGGCCGTTGCCGCGAGAACGAACTGAAAACAGTCCAAATTAGGAAGACCTAGTTTCATTTTTTTGTTCAATGGATAATAAAACCGATAATTGATTATTATAGTCAAAACGTTATCTGTATTCTGATTTTGTGCGGTTGTTTTATTCAACCTTTCATGAGCTTCGACACAAGTTCAGGAAGTGTTTTGAATCAGCGTAAGAATTCAGCTTAGAATATCAGGAAAAAGGCTAAAACGCCTACAACGAATGATTCAAATTGATTTTGAAGTCAGCTTTCGTAAGATGTCCCACAAAGCTGAGATGAATCAGACCGAGGGAGGATCAGTGCTCACTTCCTACGGGCCCTCCCAGACGTCCGGACTTAGGTGCAGAAGTGCTCCAAGGAGCATACCATACACGTGCCTCAAGAAAGACAGTTAGTTGTACGGCTACCAGTTATAAAATCTTCAACCACCCCAGAGACAGGGATGACTCTCGTTCTGACTGGAGGGTATCGTCCAGCTGCTAAGGCGAAAATTGTTTTCAAATCTCTCGGCTGTGATCGGATGTTCCTACCAGTTGAATTGTATCAGACTGAGGGAGGATAAGTCCTCATTTCTTATAGGCTCTCTCAGGACTCCTGATGCCTAGTATGAAGTCGGAATTTTTCAAATCACCTTTTTCCAATTAATAATCCTCTCGACAAATACACTTAGAAACATGTCTGCTATCTTTGGATATAAGTTGATAACTGACTCACATGGGACCAACACACACGAGAGAAAGAAAGAGAGAGAGAGAGAGAGAGAGAGAGAGAGAGAGAGAGAGAGAGAGAGAGAATAAGTGAGTGAGTGAATGAAAGAAAGAGAAAATTAGTGAGTAAGTGAACGAGTGCGTACAAGAATGAGCGAGAGAGAGAGAGAGAGAGAGAGAGAGAGAGAGTGAGAGAGAGAGAGAAGAATAGACAGAGTTAAGTGAGTGAATGAGAGAGAGAGAGAGAGAGAGAGAGTAAGTGAGTGAGTGAATGAAAGAAAAAGAAAGTGAGTGAGAAAGTGAACGAGTGTGTACAAGAAAGAGAGAAAAAGTGAGTGAGTGAATGAGAGAGGAGAGTACGTGAGTGAGTGAATGAAAGAAAACGAAAGTGAACGAGCATGTACAAGAATGAGAGAGAGAGAGAGAGAGAGAGAGAGAATGAGTGAGTAAATGAAAGAAAGATAAAGAAAATGGGAAGTTGATGGGTAGGAGATAAATTATCTTTCCACAATAAGCGTTTCGTTCTAATATAGACCATCTTCAGTGACTAAATAACAAAAGTTGTACAAATATATACTAATTGTATACAGGTAATTACATAATTAAATTTGATGTAAGCTAATAATAAAGAAGAAAGAGTGTGTGAGAGGCCGAGTGAGAGAGAGAGAGAGAGAGAGAGAAAGTGAGAGGAACTGCTTGATGTTTTTGTTATTTAGCGAGTAAAAAATTCTTCCACTATATTGTTATTCAAAATTATTAATTAGTCAATTACTAAAATATTACATAAACATACGATGGTGTTTGTTAGCAGATAGACGAGAATACCCATCCTTTTACGAATGAGGAAGTTGTGTTAGAAGGTCATTTAAATAAAATTAAAAACATTTCAATGATTCTCAGTGATTTATGCCTTTCATTGGAGCCAATAATAAGCGTTTTTCTCCTGCAGCGTTAATTATTTAAGCTTTAATTATTTTTATTTCTGGACAATAGTTTGTTCAAGGAAGTGCCAAAACCCGAAAAAATACTTGAATGTTTGAAAATTTTAAATAAGTAGTGAAACACTTTAGAACTAAGTTAACATACAAGAATAGTTGGCGCATGTTTGGCAGGGAGGAAGACGGGAAATGATGATTTTTACCCTGTTTTGCCTCGATTCCATGGGTGAAAAACTTGTACTTTTTGGTTGGCGGGCCGTCAAACGGCCCGGCGTCGCCGAATTTGCATTTTATTGTCTTACCTTGAAATGAGACAAAGGTTGAAACACTTGGGAGAGCCTTAAAAACTTCCCACAACCGACGGCGGTTTCTGATGACTGAGTTTGACGAGATGGGCTCCACTTGTCCGGCTCAAACATTCCTTCTACAAAACGGATTATTAAAAAATAAATACAATATGAACAAACAGACGGCGATTCCATTTTTTCCGTAACATAGATAAAATTACAAAAAAAAATTCATAAAAATTCAATATTTTTCCAATGAACGTTTTATTTGCTGTTCTATCCGCCGGTCACTCAGTATTTTATCATCATCGCTGCCTCTCAAGTGGCAAAAAGTCGACTCGATGATCGAATATAAGTTTAATAGTTCCCAGCATCATTTTTCTTCGTTGCATCTTCCTCTTTGTTCACTCATTTTTTCTGGAGTAGGTATATTATACTTAACACAAGGAAAATGTAGTCTGATCTAATCTAACATGTCATTTTTAAATAGTGAAGGAAGGTGAGAGATTCACCGAACAAAAGAAATTTCCAAAAATTCTTATAGTCTAAGCTCTACGCTGGTCTTTTCTTTCGTGTGGCTTCCCTTTCATTCGCTCATTCAGTCTCGCTCACTGGCTTACTCTGAGAGAGGAAGGGAGGGAGAGAGAGAGAGGGAGAGAGAGAGAGGGAGAGAGAGAGAGAGAGAGAGAGAGAGATTTTTTGATTGATTGATGGTTTTTTTGAATCACGCAAAGTTAGAAGTGTTGGGCCTTTCTTACATTTAACGGGAGCTATACAGTTTACATAAGG